CCCCCCCCGCCTTATCACCAGAATCTGAGGGACTTGAGGAGTGGCAGCTCATTTGCATTTAAAGCTACAGACACAGAATCAGCACTTTTGAAACAGGGCGGAAACAGAGGGGTTTATGGGATGCTACAATGGGTGATCTGTTTGGTATTTCGAGCCAAACACTTCAGAGACATGTTTTGTATATATCTGAGACCTATAATATATTGATGAAACAGAGAATAATAGGGGACCTTTAAGATAACACCTCTGCAGCCTTTTGTCATACAATTAGATCATTTTATAGCAACAACAGATTTGGCACACTAAAGAAGGAACGAAAGACAGACACAAATCCAAGAAGCTTACTTGCCAACCGCCAACGCATCAGTCACGGACTCTGGTTAATGGGATTGAAAAGGAGGTCCTGTCATTCACTGCAAGGATGATACATCATTTCCAAAATGCGCTTACTCTGTACATAGCTGGTTCATCCAGATGTGAAAGTGAATGATAATAAGATAATTCATTCACCCTCGTATTGTTATTCAGGGTCACAGGGACAATCCTTGCACCCATTAAACAAAAAGGCGGGGAAACAAGACGGACAGCTCAACAGTTAATCAAAGGGCCTCAACAGACAATCATTTTATATTTATGCTTAAGGGCAAAGGATGTGGCTTGCATGTGCTTTCAATATATAGGGGAAATACCAAAGCATGATGATACATTGTCTGGTACAGGCAATTATTCATGAAAAATGAATTTCAAATGTTCAAATTTCACACAATGAAACATATTTATTTACTCTTCATTTTCTCTGATCGGCAAATGCAAAATGAACACCTAGCAACAAATGATCTTAACTAAAGCCTGACTTAAACCTGACTAACCTCAAACCTAAATAGTACTTCAATTATGTCAGCTTTGTATAACTTTCTCTTTTGTGGCACATGTTTTTAGCACCTTGATAAAGAAACAACTCTTAATTGCAGCATATCTTTTGGGCATCTGTTCTCTTGTTAGACAGAAGCAGAGAGGGATATCACAAAGCATCAACAGGGATATAAAAGCATCTCACAATAGCCGCTTCAACTGGAAATGACACCTACTCTGTGAGCATCCAGGTTGCCCGCAAGGCCCAATAATGTCTCCACACAAATGTTTCACAAATGTAACCGCCATTTCCCCAGTTAAACACAATTCATTCGTAACTAGCACCAGGGCGCACGAGGTGATGTCAAACAAGGCTGTGGGTGTTTGTTAGGGGAGTGTAAAGATGTGTAATTCCCACAATCCTTTCTGCTCATAAATGGGATAGATAGCCACTGTCAGTTAGCATCACAGTCATTGTAAGCCGCTTGATTTTTAGCTGCAGAACTCACAGGCACACTATCTCTTCTTTACTGCTTTTTCTCCAGATTTACAGAACAGATGCGTCATGCAGCACCTCCAGTGTTTTAATTGGATAACTGCAATTAAAGCTGAGCTCATTCCGACGACACCTGATGGTATATCACTTGATAATCTAGAAAAAAAGATTGCTGCATCTGTTCACCCCTTTGTTTGTTTTTAAGTTATTGTTTGAGGATGTTTGCTTCTAAATAGGTATTTGACTAAAATGGCTGTGGCAAGTATAACTCAAGGACACTTTAAGGCGTTAACACACAGTGGGCCAAGTCTCATCTCCAGTAAATAATCTTATAAAACAAGGGGAAAAACAGTGCCATTGTCACCTAGTGGCCTGACACACGTGAAACTTTCCCAGTTTGTGTCTAAACAGGGACTTGATGCATGTTAACCCCTCTCTTTCCCCCCATGATTCCTGTTTGCTTTAACGATATCAAAAAAAGGCAACAATGCCCCAATAAAATCACACTAACAGACTGCATGGTATGTGAACATTTGGAGGTACACCGTTTTTCACCTTCTGATCATTTCTGTTTCATCAAACAATCTGTTACCAATAAGTACATTATATTATAGGATATTTGGTCTGTTCTGTATTTGTTTTCTTCTACTTAGATCTCAGACACTTCACAAACAACCATATATCAGCGTGCTTATCAAGCACAACTAGTAATGCTCAGGCTGCTTTCAAAAGCAGCAAATTGCTGCATCTATGGCATATTTTGTCTGTCATTATGAGCACTGCTCTTAGGTTGTGTTTTTGTTTGCGTCAGTCATTCATGTTAAGTGTTTCTGTTTTATCTTGAGAAACACTGCGCTAGTGGATTGTCAAAGGGGGAGCCTCGTTGCGGGGAAATTATACAGATGGCTAGTCCTCCCCTGAAAATGTCTATGCAAACGTTATTATTATTAATAATTTAAAAAAAGAAAATTATTAAAAAAAATTAATACATTTTTTTTTATACATTTTTTTATTTTTATTTTCCATTTTTATTTTCTAATCATCTCGCGACCCCCACTCGGGGTCTCCCGACCCCCCGGGGGGACCCCCACTTTGGGAACCCCTGACATAGCCTACTCTTTTGTCTATCACATAAGTGGCGCAAGTTGCGCAACTGATGTGGTATTGCGCTAAACGGAAATTATCTTTGAACGGACACTTTGACCGGAGAGATTTAGATTTGCCGGTCTTCAGCATATTTTACCGGTCGTAGTCCGGTCATTACCGGCTAACGGGAACTCTGGTGTGTATTGCGTTTGTTTCCCAGGGAAAACCCTCACGAGAAACACCGGCTGTTGTTATGCCTGCTGTGACGTCAAGTTACTCCGTTCTCCGCTTCTAATTATGCCTTTACAAGCTTCAAAGTTGTATTTATCATCTGAATTTGCCGAAACAAGTTTAATATTCTGAAAGCCAAGACTTAGTTTAATTAAAATCAGATTAAAACAAACTGTAACGGACCCTGCCGTGTTATCTATGATTACTCTACGCGATAGTGCCGGTAAGAAGGAGGCGGAGGCGGAGTATTTAAGATGGATTTCCACTATTTATTTTCCATCAAGCAATAGTAGTATCAGACATGTACTCAGTGAGGAGAGTCAAGTTAGAGTGCGTTGCTAGCTCTAGCTTGGCAACCTATAACCCCGGTGTTACACCAAACAAGGTCCGTGTAGGAACTGTGACCCAAAAGTGAATTATGGTTAACTAGAGTCACCACACAAGCCCCCCCAGAATTCACAGATAAACTTTATCTGTGAATTCTGGGGGGGCTTGTGTGGTGACTCTAGTTAACCATAATTCACTTTTGGGTCACAGTTCCTACACGGACCTTGTTTGGTGTAACACNTGTGGTGTGTGTGCTGCTGCTGTGTGTGTGTTGTGTGTGTGTTGTTGTGTGTGTGTGTTGCGTGTGTGTGGTGTGTGTGTTTGTGTGTGGCTGTGTGTGTGTGTGTGTGTGTGTGTGGTGTGTGTGTGTGTGTGTGTGTGTGTGTGTGTGTGTGTGTGTGTGTGTGTGTGTGTGTGTGTGTGTGTGTGTGTGTGTGTGTGTGTGTGTGTGTGTGTGGCCTCAAATATTTCTAAATGAAAAACTAAAAATACTACTCGGGGAATATAAAGAGAGCTGCATTGTTGCAGGACAGTTTGTCTCTGCCTGCCACAGTTTGAGGGAATCAAACTGAGCTGATACACCAAATTCTAAGCAGTTTGTTTATGTGTTTATTTGTGTGTATTTTTGTATAGATGTTGCAACTTAGAGCTTTGGCAATATATGTCACTATGGTCATGCTAATAAAGCTATTTCATTGAGTGTGTGTGTATGTATGATTGAAGTACTGTACAGTTGTCATTTGTTGTGTGAGAATAAGTTATTATTTTGTTCTTTATGTTCTCACTTGTGGTGTGTGAGTGAGTGAGAGGGAGAGGGACTGCCCTTTGTACAAGTAGCTGTTGCTTACAATAAATGTTATTATGAATACATTTGCCTCAGAGTCCTGCGTGAACTGTATACATACTGTAGACTGTATTTTAACATTGGTCATATGGTGGTACTTGGAGAGCCAACTATTTTCTCAGGTGGTACTTGGTGTAAAAAGGTTGAGAACCACTGACTTATACAGTCAAAAATAACTAACAATAACAATGTTATTAAGCAGCTTAAGGAGCTTATTACCTAATACCTGAGCACTTATTACCATCACATTGATATTAGTAAAATGAATGAAAACACATTGTCCCCAGTAATAATAATAACTCATGCAGACGCCTGGTTGAGTGTAAGATGGCTTCATTAGTTGGATCCCCACTGAAGCTTCATATGAATTTAACCCTGACAGTGACTTTATCTGTGTGACCCCCCATCCCCCAGTTCTCTGCCCTGCCTCCAGTCAGAGTAGTGTTCTCCATCACCATGGAGGGCAGTGCCAGGAAGGTGATCACTGTCCGCTCGTCCCTCATGGTGAAGAACCGGCTGGATGTTCCTATGGAGGTCCGTCTGGACAGCCCCTCTGCTCCTGACAGTAAAACTCTCTTTTACCATTCACAACTAGGGCACTTTATTGCACTTTATCACACAGAGTTCTTTATTTTCTTTTTTACTTTTTCTTGTTAATCTTGCAAATTCATGTTTTTACCATGTGGGTCACATTAATGCAACCAGCTGTGTCCGTGTGTTTCCAGAGCCAGTGGTGCTGCCTCCTATCCTCCCCGGCCAGGCATTGGCGGTGCCCCTCCACCTCACGTCCTGGCGTCTGCAGGCCCGGCCCAAAGGCCTGGGCGTGTTTTTCTGTAAGGTTCCCATCCACTGGACCAGCGTGGAGCGGCCCGGGGAGATCAGCAGCAGTAAGAGGGACTGTCAGTCAGCAGACTTTGACGACAGCCTCAAGCGTGACTTCAGGTGTGTACAGTCAGTCACAGATGTTGTTCTCTGGTTTTGTCTTCCTTTTACATGGCACTGTTTGCCTAATTTCTCTGCATCTCCTAGATTTTGTTTGGTCATCAAAAAGGAGAACTATCCGGAGCAGCAGCCGGCCAAGAGGGTTGCTGGCAGTGCAAAGGAGATCTATCGACAGCCAGGCCACACCATCTACCTGCTGCCCACCATGGTGCTGGCCAACCTGTTGCCCTGTGACCTCAACTACTTCATCAAGGGAACATCCATCAGAGGCTCCCTGAAGCCAGGGAAAGAGGCAGTGCTTCACCCTGCCGACACCTCTCAGAACATGGAGCTAGGTCAGCGCCCGCCCTGTAATCAGTCACTGGCTGTTTTTGCCTCCTTTAGAATCATAATACCTATTTGTCCCACAGAGGGGAAATTGACATTGTTACAGCAAAAGTGAAGAGCCAAAAATAGCAAAATATTAATTAAGAGGCATGCATAAAATATTAAAGATAGAAATGGAAAAAAACACAAATTACTATTTACTAAAACACACATCTAGATTTATTTCAGTATTTGAATCGTCTAAGAGGTAGCGGCCAGTAATCTTTTTTATTATAAAGCGGTGTATATATATATATATATATATTGCAAATATGTGACCCGCTTTATCGAAAAATCAGTCGGAATTCGCAACAGCTCATTTAAAAATAAACGTGGATTTGTGTAAAAAAATAGTTTTTCGGGATTCGGGTGTTTTGTTTGATTTTAAATAAACAAAGTCTTGGCTTTCAGAATATGAAACTTTTATTTCCAAAATCCCACGATAAATACCTTTTTCAAGCTTTTAAAGGGAAGATGACAGCTCTCACTCTCCACTTTTCCGCGGTGCTGCTTCCCCTCCCTCCGGCTGAAATTATGAATGTAAGCGTATGGTAATCATAGATAACATGGCAGGGTCCGTTACAGTTTGTTTTCATCTGATTTTAATTAAACAAAGTCTTGGCTTTCGGAATATTAAACTTGTTTCAGCAAATTCAGATGATAAATACAACTTTGAAGCTTGTAACGGCTTAATTACAAGCGGAGAACGGAGTAACTTGACATCACAGCAGGCATAACAACAGCCGGTGTTTCTCGTGAGTGTTTTCCCCGGGAAACAAACACAATACACACAAACGCAAAAATACAGAAACACACGTACACACACACACTCGCGAGCTTCCCCCAGACCAGTAATCCAAACCAAAATATCTTCCCTCCGTAGTATTTTGATAATTTGCTCCGCTAATAATCAATCAGATCGATGGATTCCAGAGAGGAGGAAACTTTGAAGGCCTTTTTCTCAAAATGATGACTCAGTGACAGTCATTATATAATGTGACATATTTTGCTTAATATTTGGATAACAAAAACAATCCTGATATCATTAGAAAGCTAGGAATCTCCTCTTTCCAACAGTGTATACAACTCAAAATGTGTCTTCGGGTCAATGCGACTGATTTCGATAGAGCAGGTCACATATACCTTTCCACTCTTTCACACTGAACACTGCTGTTCATGTCTGTCCTTCAGGAGTCCTGCTGGAGAGCTTCCCTGTGTGCAAAGAGCTGCTCATTCCCCCTGGTACTCAGAACTATGTGGTGCGCATGAGGCTGTATGACACCAACAAACATCTGCTCTGCCTCACCATCCGCATCATCCTGCGAGCACAGGGGGCTCTGAAGATCCTGATCTCTGCCCCCTACTGGCTTATCAACAAGACTGGTAATGTTCATTAACAATATAAACTACAGTTTTACATTTTACAAAACAAACCAGCCATTGCTTAAAGAACAAGCGTCTCTGTTATCATTCCCTAAAATTGTTTTCCTTCCTTAGGCCTGCCGTTAATTTTCCGTCAGGACAACGGCAAAGCTGATGCTGCAGGCCAGTTTGAGGAGCACGAGCTGGCCCGGAGCCTCAGCCCACTGCTGTTCTGCTACACTGACAAGGAGCAGCCTGCGATGTAAGTGTGTGTCAGAGACAGGGTCTGAACTGCCTGCTGCCTGAGGTAGTGACAGACATCCTTTGGCATGTGCACTGAGAAAATACCTAACTTAGTGATAGTTGGATGAGCTGCTCTAAATTCTCCTTACATCCCTACATTCTGTTTGTACGGTTCAGTGGCCAGAGGCCACTTCCTATAAAGGCAATTTCTCAAGGAGAAACATCCAATTTGACTCGAGATGAATGACTCATGATTTTCACTGTGACCTCACAAAACATGTGTTTTAACCATAACTCATGAATTCATATTCAAATGATTTAAAATGTACACAGATATATTGATAGGATAAAATATGTGATGACAATGAAAGTAAACTGGAGTGACCTGCGGAGACATGCATTATAACCACCAGGCAGTAATTCCATTCTCCCCGTCTATCTTGATCACAGGTGCACAATGCGGATCGGTAGAGGGATCCACCCAGACGGAGTTCCAGGCTGGTGCCAGGGCTTCTCCCTGGACGGAGGCAGTGGAGTCAGGGCAGTAAAGGTCATCCAGCACGGGAACAGGCCTGGCCTCATCTATAACATAGGCAAGTTTGTATATTACCAAATGTCTCAGTTGTCACATGAGCAATACAAATGTCTGTTGGGCATTCAATGTTCCCTGTCTGATCCACACAGGCATCAGTGTGCGGAAAGGAAAAGGACGCTACAGGGACACACACATAGTGACCTTTGCCCCGCGCTACCTCCTGGACAACCGCTCTACACACAAACTGGCCTTCGCTCAGAGAGAGTTTGCAAGAGGAAAGGTGAGGAATAAATCCAGAAAGAAGGTTCAGGTAGCTTAGTGGCAAATGCTCACATCTCACACAGTGAGTGAGAGAGAGTGAGATACACATCTTGTTGTAAAAATACAAGATGGCCACTGCCAAAATGCAGAAAGTTAAAGAAATCCACAAAGTGATAGGTGAAGTCATGGTGGCTTCATCCAACTGTTATACACAGCTCATGCCTTCCTCCAGTTTCTCCTACAAGGGGGACAGTAATTCCAGTATGACAGGAGTAATTGAAGAATACTTTTGTTTTAGGGTACGGCTAACCCAGAGGGTTACATCTCCACCCTGCCGGGCTCCAGCGTTGTCTTCCACTGGCCACGCAATGACTACGACCAGCTGCTGTGTGTGCGCCTCATGGACACCCCCAACTGCACCTGGTCAGGAGGCTTTGAGGTCAACAAACCAAAGTCCTTTCACGTCAACATGAGGTGAGCTACATTTACACTCTCCAGAACACACAGATTTAATACAAATATACAGTTGCAAGAAAAAGTATGTGAACCCTTTGGAATTACCTGGATTTCTGCATAAGTTGGTCATAAAATGGAGTAAGCCACTGCTGTCCAGAAAAAACATTGCTGCACGTTTGAAGTTTGCAAAAGAGCACCTGGATGTTGCAAAATATTCTGTGGACAGATGAAACCAAAGTTGAGTTGTTTGGAAGGAACACACAACGCTATGTGTGGAAAAAAAAAGGCACAGCACACCAACATCAAAACCTCATCCCAACTGTGAAGTATGGTGGAGGGAGCATCATGGTTTGGGGCTGCTTTGCTGCCTCAGGGCCTGGACAGATTGCCATCATCGACGGAAAAATGAATTCTCAAGTTTATCAAGACATTTTGCTGGAGAACTTAAGGCCATCTGTCCAAGGCACACA